GATGTACAAGACCGGTCAATCTATATAACTTTTGCATATCAACGTAAAGAATCGCTTACATATCCCACCGGTTTTTGCAGGCCCCATCATGTGCATGGTGACATATGGTTTTGGATATAGACGTCCAGCATATACTGTAGCATGACAAGTTGAGTTTGGCATCATACAGGCAGGTTGCTCAAACAGTTCCCACCGTCTCAGCTGTATACATGCAGGCGATCAACTGGATCGTGTTACCGGATCCATTTGCATATGTACATATATACATATATGTACATAGATGTCTTTGCTACATTCAGTTTCGATACCGTTTTTCGTATGAATGCTAGCTTGTTTAGTGCAACCTCCTTCAAAGGCGTATTTATTGTTTGCGATTATTGTTGCACTGGTTGTCCTTGTTTCGGAGCTCCCAGTCCAATAATTTGTCCAGTATTTGGAGCTGTGTGTGCGGAATTGTGTATTTCAATTGCAACAGCTTCTCACAAAAGCCAACCCAGAAAACTGAAAACCTACGACCTTCGAAGACAATCATCGCATGGATGTTGCTGTATACATCCTGACAGCTACAATGCTGGCTTATCCAGATTAGTGATCATTGCGGCTGAAGCCCACGAGCCCCCAAAGGATAAGGATATAATTTAGTTAATATACTTTCCAAGGAGATGGTGCTTTGCTATCATTATTGTATATGCAGACATATGGAGATCCACCTGCAATATTAATCATTTCGCTGTCTTGTTGCTCATACCATCTAGTCATAGGTCGACTGCCGTGAAAACACATTATTTGCACATGCTCACACAAACATACACCGACACGCACATACGATTGTCATCAGCTTTAAACAATACCGCTTGTTGTATCTGTGCTGCAGGCAATGCACCTGTATGCCGCAACCATTCTAATATGGTCTTGTTAAAGCCCATGACGCACTTCATCGTGTGTCTTATGGATATCTCCGTAAACTAGATCCTGTTACCCAAGCAAAAGTATAATAACTATACTATGCCTAAAACCAACTTTCTAATATGTGACATGATCAAGAAGTCAAGTATCTCTTGTGGTGGAAGTAAACATGGCAGATTACATTGGCAGCTGCATGCCAGTTTTGGCAAGAGTAATGGAGCCGTCATAATGAGGCACCCAATCGGCAGTTGAACAGGATATTCGCCGCATTCCTTCAATGTAAAAGGCATGTTATGTGTTGAATATGGCCATATCAACATAGAGCACCAGGAAATCTCTTCAACATATCGTTATGATATTGAGCCATCCGTATAGATCATCGCAGTAGGTGTCCTTATAAGATGCCCGCATCGTTCGGGCTTCCCCCTTTACGCCTTCCGGCCGCGCGGGCAAGCGGGATTGCACCACATATTGGTTAAACCCCTCGGTAGACCTTTCTAAAAGCCCGGAGACTTATTCTCACACATAAACCCAATCTCCCATGAAGTTACAACAGTCACAGCTAGGTATGAATAGGTCGCAAGATGCAGGCAGCATCTCATGACACATATCTTCTCTATGAGATTTGACTTAGATGTCCTTGTGCATCCCGTGAGCTTGCAAAGCTCGTATGGCATCTCCCTAGCACCTCATGCTACATGTTTACGAGTTTGTTACGCCATATCATTCTATGATGCGCATGGTTCACGTGAAGATTGATACTTCACCATGACGTGCTCATGAGATATATTGTTTCCATATCTAGCCAGTTTTGGTATAATGATATTCAGATTCCTGCGAGTAGCCGATCCTGATCACAGGAACATAAACCGATAAGGATTTCCAGTTGTAAACTCCCCGACAGAGCCCACAATGTTGCTCGAACATCGCACAAGTGGAATATCCAAACTCCCGTTTTCATGCACCCATAAGATAGTCGGATTCGGATCCCTTACATCGCAACCTGTCACTGAAAGGCGAAGACAGTGTTTGTTGTATATGTTATCGAAGAGACTGCTCATACATGTATCTGACATCCGACATATATACCGACCATGTGTCCTCGCATATGCTACCACATCATATGCGACGTCAAACATTGTTGTTATCGCTTGACTACGACAGACCCTTCAACTGGTTGTCCACCTGGCATTGCTCAGGCAGTGGTTGTGTCGTGAGTTCGCATCCGTCGAATGTATGTTAATGTAAGGTCTCCTCGTCATATGATGTCATAATCATAAATAGTTTATCATCTTTGTGAGATGTAATCTCAGATATCGACTTTTCTATACGCAGTAAGTCTCTGAGGTCTTTTATAGATTCTATAGATGTTTATCTGGTTAGTTTGTAATCTTATTGATCTTAATATTCGGCATAGATTATCTACTCACTTGTAGTGAGGCTTGCATGGGCTAAGGACACCAGGTTTAAATCATGTGGCTCTTGGTTGGTGTCCGCTCCCGCAGTATGGCGCACCATGGCGCTGGCTGTCGCTTGCCTTGCTGTCCCCGTGGGGGGGGGGGGGGGGAGCCACCAAAAAAAAAAAAAAAATCTGGCGGGGGGGGGGGGGGGGGGCAGTGCAACAAAAAAAAAATGATTTTGGATTTTAGTTTTTTTTTGTTTTTTTTTTTTTGCGCTGCCCCCCCCCCTCCCTCCAGATTTGTTTTTTTTTTTTTTGGACCGCCGGCCCCCCCCCCCGCCTTCCCCTTAGTAGCAGTGTTCTCGCCCTTCGGGCCTAAACCAGCCAAGAAGTGAGTCAAACCTCCTGCTCTATAGTCACGTCGACAATTGAAACAAGCACATTTATGGGTATACGTGCAAGTATCCTATTTAAGAATATGCATATGAGGATAACGATATCGTGTGCACGAGTGATGTTGCTTCAAATCTGAAGCAAACCAAAAACATGAAAAACAGTAATGCTGTAAATATGGGGCCCGTATAATGTCTTATTTTCTGTATCTTTAGATATCCAGAGATCCTGGCCTTCAAAATATCCAGAGATCCCAGCTTTCGAAGCAGCATTGCATCAAAAAGTTGCTGGCCGAATTCAACGGAAACTTCTTGGCGGGGATGGGTTGAGGGTGTTGTGGCTCGGGTCCACTTCCCTGCTCCACGGTGCTTGCAGGCCAGAACCTCTACCTGCTGCAAACCTTTCATTCGAACTCGAAGCCCTGAAACTGTCACTGACTATCCGCTGGCCTGGCTGGACAATGACCCGGCCTGGCAGAAAACCAGCGTACTTCATGTGAGAAATAAACGCCGTCGGATGCGGGAGCTAGGCAGCTAGGCGACGGGGAGAGCAGCGCTTGGCTGAGGGTGCAAACCTGTCTGGCAGTGGAGAGTGCTGTTTGCAGCCTGCTTCCGCTGTCGCTGTGAAGAATTCTTATGTTTAAGCAAGTAGGTTCTTCACAAGGCTGGCAATGCATGCTCGGGGCATCGATTTGCTACACACCAAAACCCCGAACCTCAAACTCCGATGCGATGTTTACACTACACCCTGCGGCGCAACTGGTCTGATGGCGATGGTCGTGGTGGCGGGGGTGATTTTGAGGATGCAGATGATGTGTTTGTGGTGAAGACGATGGCTGCAGAGATGATACTAAAGATGGCGTGCACATACAAGGAAGAGAAAACGTTGTAATCCACAAGACTGTATGATGAGAGCAGGGCAAGGCCAGGATTGGTGGTAGGCACTGGTCGGAGGCAGCTGCAACTATGGCTGAGATGATGGTGATGACAAGTAGAATTGCCACTGCTAATGTATTGGGGATGATGAGGATGAGCATGACCGATCTGACGAAGATGCTAGCTACAATGAAGATGCTGCTGATGAAAAATTCTGCTGATGATGACACTGCTTGGTAAAACTGGGGACTTGGGGATCATGACCGAACCTAGTGGCGGCAGTGGCGGTGGCGGGCAGCGGATCGTGACGTGACATGGAGACGCAGGCAGTGATAATCCTGGTTCCGATGCTGTTGCCGGTACCGGTGTTCGTGCGTCGGTTGATGCTGATACTGCTGCTGGTGCTGATGATGGCAAAGTTCCCCCTCATCACCGTGGTGGGTTCGGTCCTGACGACGACGGTGATGGTGATGCTTGAAGCAATGCTCACAATGACGCGGACAGAGCTCATAAATTACGAGTGCGCTGAAAACAGTGCAGCCGGGTCGCAGAGAAGCCTGTACGTGGTGCATACGGAGACCTGCACTGCATTTCGATAAACCTACGACAATGCTGTCCCTTCAGAGATGGCCGGGGTCGTCATGCTTTTCCTGCATATCGAGCGCCACTGCCACCGTCTGATCGGGATAAACCATCTCTAGCTGGAGCTACAAAATACTGACACATTCCCTAAAATTCTCAAACCTACAATAACGCAAACGGGCGTTTCTTCGAGCTTGGTGGTTCTGTAGCAGCTTTGCTTCCAAAAGCTCCGGGTCCCAGCATAGGCTTCCAACCATTGGGGCTTCACCGATTCCACTTCCTTGCTCTGCGAAATCTCTGAGATCCAGGCCTGTTCCGTTCCAAGGCAGCCTGAACGGCCTGGCGAAAGGAGGTGGAACCAGATCACACTCGTAGCGCTGATGATGCTGAAGACAGAAACGTGCGAGACTTGATAAGCATATCACAAAACTAGCAACATGAGAATGATTGGAGTCAGACTACCAGTGACATTTAGTACTACACTTTCTAAACGTTGGTTTCGCCGTCACAGTAGCAGATCGTCAACCATGGCCTAAACCTGAAGTCCTGAACCTGTAATCGCAGACCTTGCACCTTGAGTCCCCAACCGAGCTGAGCAAACTGCAGCTTCCTTGCAGCATCTTTGTCGGGTACTTGTCGCACGAGACTTTCAGATTCTTGGCGAGACCGAAGCTAGGTGCTGAAAGGCACGCGCCCTGACAGGCTGCTTTGCCAAGCAATGTCCCATGCACTGTACACAAACCAAAGCTCACGAAAGCAAAAACAATAGGGTTGAGCTGCAAGCCTTGCAACTTGTTCATCCTTGAATTGCAGGCGCTGCTTTGGCCACCTGCATCGCATGCGGCTCACCGAAACTTGGGTGTTCGGCAGGTCAGGCCGTCTGGCGGCAGCTTGCCAGTTCGCCAGAACCGGTCTATGGCATCTTTGCAGTCCTTCATATTGTCATTATGTTGCTCGCCATGTCCTCCACCCTGCCAAATGATCTGCACGCCATCTGGTAATGACTCCCGCATCTGATTGCTCCAAATAAACGGGGTGTGTGGGTCGTACAAGTTGCCCAGTGCCACAGCCTGAATGCCGGCTCGAAAGCCAGGCTGGACAGGAACGGCCTCGGCTTTCCAGGAGGAAAGCACGCTGAACAATCCCACAAAGGGGCCGACGGCCATGGCATCATTCCACGTTGTTTTGAAATCGCGGTAGGCTTCCATGCCCTGTGCCACTGCGAAACGGCCGAAGTAGTCCTGGGCCAAGATTGCAGGTTCAGCTATGAACGCAGAGCCCACCGATTGCCCACCAACACAGACACCGTATGTGTACCATGTTCGGATCGTGGTGGATTCATTTGCCACCTCCCTTGTGAGTTTGCAGTAATAGTCCAGGATGTCGATGATCTGCTGCTCGTTTGCTTCTTCAAGTTTCTGGATGATCTTGAACACCTCGGAGAATCTTTCAGCATCTCCCATCTTTTCCTGGAGGTAGCCCTGGACCAATCCAATGGTCAACGGAAACTGCACATAGTCGCCTAGATTGTTGGTCATATTGGTCGTCGCGGTAAGCTGCCCTGCTCGAATTGTTTCGGTCAGGCTGAGCCACTGGTCTGTCAGCGTGGAGTCGTTCTGCGTGTCAAAACTGTGGCCTTGGCAATCCGAGTGACCCTCCAGGCACAGCCTTTCCAACTGCGCGAAGGCTTGCGTCATTGCCATCCCATTACCCTTGGCGAATGTGAGGGTTTCTGGCACGGGTGGCATGCTGGACGCAAGCATGATCTTGCCGACTCGCTCCGGGTACATGTTGGCATACGTCGCAGCTACCGCAGTACCGTACGATCCAACATCGAACTCCAATTGATCAGCACAAATGCGTGTCCGTAGGAACTCGATGTCAGCGGCAAGCATGCGTGTGCCAGACCATTCAAGGAAGTGGAATTTCTTTCCATGCTTCCCTCTATGACCCACTTGTCCCTCCAATCATAGCATCTGCGGGCACGGATGGCCATTTTTTCGAAAAGCCCATGGACTTGGTCCTCATCCATCGGATCAAGGTTTGCGAAGGCCTGATCGACCAGCGGGGTGCCATCTGGCAGAGCACAGGGGCAGCTGGTGAAGTCGGAGATGTCGTAGCTTGTCTTGCCTGGGGGAGGTTCTTTTAACTGCTTCATACCGCACTCGAAGCTGGGATTGGCATCAGCTCCCACACCACGCTGGTCGATTGCAACGACTGCATATCCGCCGAACCTAGTTTTCGAAGGCTCCATATCAACCTTCTCTAAGCAGCATTCGGCACCGCTGCCTGGTCCTCCACAGTGAACAAAGACCACCGGGGGATTGCTGACGTTGGTCGGCATGTGCACAACGACAGAGAGGTTCAGAAACGGCGTCACATCCTTGTCCTCTGGATGAGGGCTCAAAGGCACCGTCAGCTTGCCCGCGTAAAAGCCCGTCGGCGGAGGTGGGGCCTGGCGTCGGAACTGGAGTCGGGTTTGGGGCTGGGCCTGGAGGGTCGCTGGCACAAGAGACGAGTCTCTTGCAGCACTGGTGGCGTGCTTGGCAGTGAACTGCTGCGGTGTCGCAAGAGGTCAGGCCACCATCGAAGCACCACCACGGGTCATTGCCCGAAGCTGCATCCAGCTGAAGCAAGGACGAGGGAGTGGAATCGTCTCCCTCATCGCATCGCCCTTCCCCGCACTGGGCTGCCCCATGGCAAAGGAGTGTGCAGAAGAAGGCAAGGCTACACCAGCACATTGGCACGAGTGACACCAGCCTGGAAATCGCCTATCTGCCACGCTTGTGTGAGCCTGGCATGAAGCAAGTCATCTCGCTGTTTGCAAAAGCCTGCCTTCTCTCTGCGCAGTACTGGTGAGATCCGAAATTTGCAGACGACACAAGCGCCCAGCATCCTACAGTTTCAGTGTTCTTGGGCTCCTCTCACCGTGCCTCGGTTGCGGCTTCGACGCTGTCGGCACTCTTCTCGCCGATCTGCAAATACCTCCCGTCACGGGGTGGGCATGCAGGACACTGTTAATTGCGGACGGTGGTTGCAACGGCGATGCTCTCCACAGTTTCGTCTTGCTCAAGCTCGCCCTAGAACCATCGACTCCGAGGACAGGAAACCGAAAAGGCTCCATCGCAGCGTGCTGCCACGACAGGCTAGCTCAACATGCGTCCCAGAACAATAACTCCAGCACATGGGACAAGACTGCAAACCCAAGCATCTGGGACTCGTGTGCTACCCCATGCCGGTCCCGCCGGCCTCCCGAGAAGTTGTCGGGCCTCAGCACATGCTAAGAACAAGACTCTGGAAAAATGCCAAAGAGCCCCTCAACTCCAAAACCGTTCTGAGTCCAAGCTCTGCTCTTTGCCTCTGAACCTTTCGCCGAGGTGCACGTGGGTTCGAGATAGCCTCCAAGCGCGGAGCTGCAAACACGCCGGCCCTGCTCACACTGCTTTGGGGGCTTCCCATGTCATCTAGCTGCAGACTGGAGGGCCTGGGATCCAGACTTTCCAGGCCTAGATGAAGCACTGTTGAACAGAATCCGAAAGGTTCGCTTCGTAGGGGGCCCCCTCTGCGTAACACCTGCATGCCTGAATCCTTTCCCGCGCACGTCGGACCTTCCAGCTCATGTGCTGGGAAGCACTGTCAAAGTATGCAAAACAGTCTGGTCTACATGAAGTTTAGGGCTCGGGTTGATCGCGAGAGAGAGAGGGAGGGAGCGAGAGAGAGAGCGAGAGACAGAGAGAGACCGAGTGAGCTGACCAAGGGGGACAGAAGCATGGTAAGCGAGTGGAATCAACGGGTGCATACTTTGACTTTGATGTAGTTTGTCGAGAAGGGGTGAGGAGGTCAGTTGGCGATTGATGAAGGGGTGAGTCCGGAGGCCAAGCCTGTAAGCACTTCGTTCTGTTCGAGCAATGAGCTCTATTGCAGAAGGAATGCTCTGTGTAAGATTCCTGCTGTGTATTTCCCAAAAAAACCGAATCTCGACAGCCCTTCTCGTGCCTTCGGAAGAAAGCATAGGAGGTTGTTCCTGCCATTGTAGCAGGATTGAGCTTCAGAGAGATCCATGGTTGGGTTCCGGAGGCGTGCATTCCCAATGGTTCCCTGTTGGGTCCACCGGTTATGCAAGGCATCCAACAAGACTAAATGGGCGAGTTGCATGTGCAGCAGAAAATCCCGCTAGGCCCTCTGACTCTCTGACGAGATCCTTGCTTGAGTTGCCGTATCAGGTCTGACTGGCCAGAAAAGTCCCTTCGAACTTTGGAGCCTATATCATCCCACGGGCCCATGGCCTCTCGTGTTAAGCTTGAAGAGTAGGCCCTGAATCCCAAACTCAACGAAAGGGCCTCCTATGATGGGTCTTTGTGTCTCCTTCCGGGAGCTTTCCTCCGTAGCAGCCATTTCCTCCCCTTTGCGGCCTGAATACCTTCGGCCTAAGTACTGATCAAGTATCTACTTCGGTCCCCCCAAGCAGTTCGACTTTAGAGCTTGAGAGTCCCTTCCATGTTCCTCGTCTGCTACACAGGCACTGCTTGCGATCATGCTACGACTAGACATGGTAGGAAGCATAAACTAGCAACTAGAAGACTTCCAATACAGTTCGGGTTCCGGGTTAGCTGCTTGTTCGGGGGGCTTCCCAGGCCTATCCATGCATCGACCAGGATCTGCAAGAGCCTCGGCCAACCCCAACCCCTAAATCCTAAACCCTACCGTTTAAAGGACTTTTGTGGTCTTGTGGAGCTCATGAGGTGCAGAGGGTGGTGATGCATTTCTGGGTTTCAATTTGCAAGGATTGCCGTATGATTCCGTGATAGTGGCCTTTGTGCTACAGGCCACACACACTCGGAGGACGCGAAAGAGACCCATCCCGATGCTCGTGCAGGAGATTTAAATAACACGTGAAAAGGCCCTTTGCTGAGGAACGTTTTTTTAGCCAGTGTTTCATATCTTCGCACGCCCAACATGGTAGGTTCACTGACGCCACATCCTCATACTTTGTTGAAGCACTTGCATAGAGTACAGCATACTACCGGTGGTGACAAGCAGCGCGAATACGATAGAATTAACGAGATCTGCAAGGACAGTCTGGAGACCCTGATGTTCATGACACGAACAATGATAGCTGACAAGGCGGACGAACAACAACGGAGCTCAAGAAACGATAATTACCAAACAAGGTGATGTTGGAACCTCGTGTTGTGCTATTCCTCAAACCCCCAACCCCACAGGAACGTTGCACCTTGCGGAAGCCTGCAACCCCCACCCCTTGCCAATCAACCTGCAAAGCATCGACACAGGGCTCCCGGCCCCATGGTACCGGAGCTACGAGTAATGGGCGCGGCGGGCGGTAGGAAGTAAGGCTCTAGGACTAAGTACGGCTATGGCTGTTTTTCTTGGGAATGGTGTCGGGGAACTTACTTGTATACCGGTCCAAGTGGAACCGTACTCAGTGGACGGTGGGGGAGCGGGGGGGGGGGGTTTGGTACGTCGTCGCACGAGTATCTACAAGAATCGTTTAGAACCCATGAACCCCTTCCCATCTACGGGGCTTTTGGGGTTTAGGTTGTCGGGTGTCTTTTTGTGCTGGCTGTGATCTCAATGGCCCGGTCGGTGGAGAACAACGGATCAGGAAAAAGGAACTCGAGGACACAAAATCCCGGTATGCCCGGCCCGTGTGTGCATGCCAGCAGGCTCATGTCTTCTGATGTTTTTGAAGAATCTCGATTTGGAAAGACCGTCAAGGCCGAGACCCTGAATTGCCACCCTACCTGCCGCCTTCCGAATGCTGACTCCGTTCGCTCTCGAACATGAAGAGCACTGATTCGAAGGCACAACTTGTGTCGAACCCTTCTGCATTGCGACACTGAGGCGCATTTGCGCCGGCTGGCTGCTTTGCACCATGGGTAGGTGTGAGACTAGTCTCGTCTGCCGAAGAGCTTCGTTGACCTCTCATGGGAGCCCCAAAAGCTCCTAAACATAAACTTTTCAGGCAGTATGCCTACGAAGGGGCAGGTTTCAATAGTTTCGGTCGCGATCTATCGCTGACGGAATATCGATTCGCTTGTGTGTCGGTCGGGTGGGGAGTGGGGATTGGTGCACCAAGGACGGCTGCTAGACCAAACACTACAGTGCCCAGCGCTGTCTAATTTGCTGCTTGTGAACGCCTCCAGGGAGCTTTCTTTCACCCTGCTGGAAAAAGCCAGGTCGTCCCGTGTGGTCGTTTGCTGATGTTTTGTAGATGTTTGTATGATATGTGTATGACTGTATATGCAAGGGTATCTACACGTACAACTGCATAGGTTAAAGGTCACGTGTGCATGTGCATACACATACATGCATGCATGCACGCATACATGTGTGGATATTCCGTGTATGTAACTGTATGTAGTCATGTAAGTAGGTCGGTCGGCAGGAAGGTAGGTGCATAGGTAAATCGCATCGTATGCGCTGGTTTTATTTTGGTACAGTCTTTCTCACGGTCGCTCCGATTCTCAGGATTTGTAGATTCGGATGGGTGGGCCCGGATCACTAACAATGCTGATGCTACCATAACAAAGCATGTTTGGAAAGGTGTTTCGAGATGTCTGGCGGCACCGTCTGGTGGTAGCATCGCATACCTGGTTTCTTGGAGACCTCTTTAGCTGCAGTTGTTGCTTCCGAAAACTACTGTACTACACTCAGGTTGCAGCTGCTTTCAAGAACGGCCTAGTAGCCTAGTATGGCGTCTTCGGTTAGCTTGTTATCATTACTTGTAGAAAGATGTGGACTGTGCGCTTGGAATGCGGATCTCTGGGACTCCAACCCGATACCTGCGCTGGCCACAGTCGCCTGCCACTACTTTCGAAATCGACCACGTCTCCTTATGCATGTCGATGCCTTAGATCTTTTTTACGCTACAAAACCCATGCATTGTAGCATGGCTCGCCTCTAGGACTTCGATGCACTCCGCCTTCTGCTCCCGCCCCCAGGCGTCGTGGACATTGGAGAAGTGCCCTGCCTCGGAGGATTCAGGGTGAGCCTCGGAAGTAGGCAGTTTAGGCTTGGAGATATTAAGGTCTGGGTGGGTGGGTGTGTGTGCGCGTGTGTGTGTGTGTGTGTGTGTGTGCATCTTTGGGATACATAGGGTTCGTAGGGGTGTAGGGTCTTTGGAGGGTGGTTCGGGTGGGGTTTCGGACCAGGCTTATCATGGATCTCTTGAGCGGTCTTTCAAGTCCGCCGGTACTGAACTGCTCCAAGCAAGATCATTGAAAGGGTCCCCAGACATTCTGAAATACTTCAAGTCCCTATAGCCCCGACCGCTAAGCCTGCGGAAGAAAGCCAGCACCATCAGCAGACCCGTGCTTGCGAGGATGCTACACTGTACACTTCACCCACACTCTGTGCAAAACACCGCGTGGTATAACGAAACACCCAGATCCAGAAGAGGGTGCAAGCAGCGAAGCTAGTATGCAGCCCACTTCCCTCCAGTGCACCACCCACAGCCGACAACAACAACCTTCCTGCAAAAAACGCAAGACGAGTAGCAGCCTCTACTACCGGAAATGCTGGACCTCAAGCCTGCGAACAGAATCTGAACTCTTCGACTTGTAGCCATGTACTAACTCTTGCCTTTGATTAACCGGCTTCGAGCCCATGCTACATTCAGTAGAGTGTCCAGGCATGATGTCTCGTCGCAGAATGCTGCTGGATGCCATCCAGCCTGTGAGGCTTTCAGTTCGGTTCAAACGGATATCGAGGCTATCGCAACTTTCCACACATGACCGTTATAAACTAACTTCATCTTCACCAGTCATGCTGGCGACATGGCTCCGGAGGAGGCTGCTGCTGCTGCTGCTGCTGCCTGCAGCTCTCGAGAATGATGATGAAACATGCTTCTGACGATGACTGCGATGTCCCCATGTCGAGCATGATGTCAACGCTGTACTTGATGCTAAGTGGCAGATAAGTACTCGCCTCCAATAAGGTCTAACATGGGTCTTACGAAGCTTATGCCCGAAGAGCCAAAGCCCGTCCATGCAGGCTATGACACACCAGCTTCGCCAACACAGACAACAGATTTGGAATATGAGGCTCAGGGCTACAGGGGATCATGGTTTGCGGTTCAAGCGAAGGCTTCCGGGAGTTTCGTAAGCGCCGTCAAGTCTCAAGGCTTGCACGGTTTCGGACAAAAGTCTGGGGCTTAAGGCTTAAGAGGTACCGCTGTTGGAGATTGTGTATATAGCGTATAGATTCAGCACGTCCCTTCAAGTGCGGTCCTCAATGAATCGGCCGTCCGCAACGAGTCCACGCTGTTCGGCCGGCTGGTGCTCCCCGACCTGAAATTTCAACGTTGGTAAGGAAGGCCTTGGCTGGCCATTTGTGGTTGAGTACCGTCTATCTGTCTATCTATCCATCTATCTCTACATATATATATAACATAACATGGTACATGCTTAAGTAAAACACCCATGCGTTACGGTTCCATTCTGGTACTCTACTAAACTATCTTAGTTTTCCTGTCTGATATCTTGTGAGAGCTGCATGCTGCAAGACTTTGGAAAACCAGAAGACGCAAGTCGTGTTGATAGCAAAGAACAAGTCTTCGAAACCTGTTGACATCTTCGGCCTTCAGTGGAAAACCATCCAATTTCCCGTGGACACAATCTTGGAAAGCAGCATGAAAGGCTGAGTGGAGCGAACTCCACATCACAAGACCTGATGGTACTGTTTTCGAGCGCATGTGAAGCGCTGTTATGCCCGGGCCCTAGGTGGCTGGAATCGAACTTGGTTCTTCTCCGAACCTAGACGAAGTTCCGACTTCCGACTTTACAAAAACACCCAAGTGTGTATGTAGACGAAGCAGCTTTTGTGGCACATTTTAGTCCTGTAAGCTGCGACTAGAACAGAAAAGCCATGAAGCATTGATGACCCTACACTACAACTGTTAATGCATATTGAACTAAATCGAAGCTCGAAACAGCTCGTTGCTCCAAGGTGCTTTATGTGCTGGTCAGCAGCGATGCATGCTCCTTGGACACAGCAGGAGTATAGGGCTCGGAGCGCCGAAGTGAACTAGGTCCTACTAGGTCTTCATGCTTGTCTTGTCCGGCAAGCCCCAGGCCCTGAACTATAAGGAGCTATGGCATGAGGACAAGTGGCTCGGCTCAGCTCTGATCACGGAGCTCCTAAGACCTAAACCTGTGCACGCCAAAGGACAAAAGCTAGGCTGAAACATCAAGTCCAAAGCCTAACTAGAGTACAGCATATCAATATAATATACGTATAATAGAGTCTAGGAAAGTACATGATCTTTGACCAACGCCGAGCCACGACGGATTCCTGACTCTTGACGGCTTCAGTCGCATGGTAGTCTTTGGTGCTAACCCGAACAACATATCACGAGTGCGGGCATCAGTGAGCGGCCTTTAACGTTCAGGGTTACGGCCCGGACACCTGACTTCTGAGTGACATGTTTATGATGTGCTCACGTCTTGTACGGGATGACGTGTCTTTACTCTCCACTAGAAGTTCTGCAGCCTGTGCTGACTCAACCGATGCCGGAACCTTTCGACGAACCGCCTTCCGACCCGAAATCCCTAAGCCCTCAAGCCCAAAATCCTTGAAGCGGACCTTGTTTTGATTTTACGGTTTAGTTTAGATTAGATGTTTAGTGACGCCCATAGCTATCCACGAACAATCATGAACAACGGCCCAAGCAAATACAAAACCGATCGAAGTCGGGCGCACCTCGCGCATCCAACGCAGAACTTGAAATGCATCACCTGGTGAGGAGGTTGGCTTCTAGTCATTCTTCGTGTCAAAACCCTTGCAATTCGAGTTCGAGGCCTGCTCCATGCAAAACCTCTCCAAATGCGCGAAGGCTTGTGTCATGGCCATTCCAGTGCCCTTGGCGAACGTGAGGGTCTCTGGCACTGGAGGCATGCTGGAGGCAAGCCTGATCTTTCCAACCCTTCCCGGGTACATGTTCGCGTAAGTCGCAGCTACAGCAGTGCCATATGATAGAACATCGAAGTCCAACTTTTTAGCACAGATGCGTGTCCGGAGGAACTCGATGTCGGCTGCAAGCATGCGCGTGCCAGACCATTCTAGAAAGTGGAACTTCCTTCCACTTCCCGGCTTCCCCTCTATGACCCACTTCTCCGTCCAATCATAGCATCTGCGGGCACGGATTGCCATTTTTTCGAAAAGCCCATGGACTTGTTCATCATCCATCGGATCAAGGTTTGCCCAGGCCTGATCGACCATGGGGGTGCCATCTGGCAAAGCACAGGGACAGCTGGTGAAGTCGGAGATGTCGTAGCTGGTCTTGTTCGGGGGTGGTCGTTTCTGGTCTGATTCACTGCAAACGAAGCTGGGGCTGGCAGATAGGCCTACACCGCGCTGGTCGATGGCCAAGATTGCATAACCACTAAACCTTTTTCCCGCATACGCCTTTAAGCAGACTGCACCGCTGCCTGGTCCTCCGCAGTGAACAAACAGCACCGGGGGATCACTGACATTAGCCGGCATTCGCAGACCGACGACAAGGTCGAGAAAAGGCGTCACATCCTTGTCCTCCAGATGAGGGCTCAAAGGCACCGTCAGAGTGCCAGCGTACTCATCGCCTTGTGGTGGTTCCCATTTCAGCCTCGGCTTTGGATTCAGAATTCCGCACTCTTGAGTCGGTTCTGGAGTGGGGCCTGGGGTGGGGCCTGGCGTCGGAACTGGAGTCGGGTTTGGGGCTGGGCCTGGAGGGTCGCTGGCACAAGAGACGAGTCTCTTGCAGCACTGGTGGCGTGCTTGGCAGTGAACTGCTGCGGTGTCGCAAGAGGTCAGGCCAGCATCGAAGCACCACCAGGGGTCATTGCCCGAAGCTGCATCCAGCTGAAGCAGGGACGAGGGAGTGGAATCGTCTCCCTCATCGCATCGGCCTTCACCGCACTGGGCTGCCCCATGGCAAAGGAGTGTGCAGAAGAAGGCAAGGCTACACCAGCACATTGGCACGAGTGACACCAGCCTGGAAAACGCCTATCTGCCACGCTTGTGTGAGCCTGGCATGCATCAAGTCATCTCGCTGCTTGCAAAAGCCTGCGTCCTCTCTGCACACGATCTGCAGTACTGGTGAGGTCCGAAATTTGCAGACGACACCAGAGCCCAACGTCCTACAGTTTCAGTGTTCCTGCACTTCTCTGCGGAAGCAACGCTCTCACCGTGCCTCGGTTGCGGCCTCGATGCTGTCGGCACTCTTCTCGCCGATCTGCAAGTACCTCCCGTCAACGGGTGGGCATCTGACCCTGTCCTCGACAGCCCTTCTCATGCCTTCGGAAGAAAGCACAGGAGGTTGTTCCTGCCCGGGTTGCAGGATTGAGCTTCAGAGGGATCCAGGGTTGGGTTCTGGAGGCGTTCCGTCCCAATGGTTCCCTGTTGGGCAAGGCACCCAACATTCAACAGAGTGCAAATTCCGTCAGCTCCACAACACTAGATGGCCCAACCACACCTCAGGTTGCACTCGCAGAAGAAAACCTCGCTAGGGCCTCTGACGCTCTGACGAGATCCTTCATTGAGTTGCCGTATCATGTCTGTCTGGCTAACTACACCCCGGAACCCACATCGCTCGCCAGTAATTTTGTTAATGCTTCAAGGGCAGGCCCTGAGTCCCAAACTCAACGAACGGGCCTCCTGCAATCAGGCTTCTGTCTGCTTTAGGGAGTCTTCTTGCATAGCAAGTATATCCTCCCCTTCGAGGGCTGAATGCAGCAATCTCGGTACTGATCAAGAACTTACTTTGGTCCACCAAAGCACTTCGACTTTAGAGCTTGAGCGATCGTGGTACGGCTAGACATGACTGGGAGCAAAAGGTAGCAACTGGAAACCTTCAATGTCAGGACTATGTCAGGGTTTCGCAGGCTGGAGAGATGGCGCTCTGACTGAAGGGCTAAACGTGGAGTTTACACAACAAACTTGACGGTTAAAGGTTGAATGCTTAGCATGGGTTCCAGATTGACGGCTTATTATTTAGAACCCTATAGTACCCATATTAAAAAAGGATCTTACTTACTAAGTCCCATAATCCTCCAAGTGGGCCAAGGAAAAATCAAAGGGGCTCTCGAGTCAAAGCTCGCAGCTTTCGATTCCGTTGCGACCTTCAGTCCCAGGGCTATCCATGCATCGACCAGGATCTGCAGGAGCCTCGGCCAATCCCAAACCCTAGGGTTTATATAGGGTTTAGGGTTTAGGGCTTCGGGACCCTGAACTCTGTGTCGTCTAAAGGACTTTTTCTTGTGGAGCCGATGAGGTGCAGAGGGTGGTGATGCATTTCTGGGATTCAAGGTTCAAGGACCACTCTATCATTCCGTGATGGTGGCCCTTTTGGTACAGCCGAAAGAGACGCATCGGGAGATGCTCGTGCAGGAGATTTGAGTACATACTACAAGTAAACCAAGTACTTATTTGGAATACATCGGTTTAGCGCGGAGGAACGATTTCTAGCCTCTGCTTCAGGTCTTCGCACGCTCGACATGGTACGTTCACTGACGCCAAATCCTCCGCTCTAAGATTGCTTTGTTGAAGTGCTTGCATAGAGCACAGCGTACTACTGGTACTGACAAGCAGCATGACTTTGATAGAAGTGAAGAAGAGATCTGTAAGGACAGTCTGGAGACTCTGATGTTCATGACACGAATATAATGATAGCTGACAAGGCGGACGAACAACAATGGAGCTCAAACAAGGTGATCGCGGAAACTCGTGCCTTGTGCTATTCTTGAAACCCAAACCTCACAGGTATTGAGCGCTAAACGTTACACCACCTTGCGAAAGCCTGCAACCCCCGCCCCCTTCCTTATCAACGCCGGGCTCCGGGCCCCATGGTACCGGAGCTACGAAGCAATGAATGCTCCGTGGGCTGTAGGAAGTAAGGCTCTAGGACTCTAGGGCTAGGGCTGTCTTCTTGAATTGGGAATGGTGTGAGGTGGTACCCCCTCCGATCTATGTTGCTTTGGGGTTTGGGATGTCGGTTGTCTTTTTCTGCTGGCTGTAATCTCAATGGCCAGGTCGGTTGAGAACAACGGATCAGGAACAAGGAACTTGAAGTCCCAAAACCCCAGTTTACCCGGAACATGCGTTCATGCCAGCACAATCATGTCTTCTGAGGTTTTTGAAGAATCCAGATTTGGCAAGACCCTTAAATCAAGAAAAAAACTAACCTGTGCTTTCTGCCGCCTTCCGAATGCTGACTCCGCTCGCTCTCGAACATGAAGAGCATCGAAGGCACAACTTGTGTGGAACCTTCTGCAATTCGACACTGAAGCGCATTTGCGCCGGCTGGCTGCTTTGCACCATGGGTAGGTGTGAGACTAGTCTCGTCTGCCGAGGAACTTTGCTGCCCTCTCATGGGAGCCCCAAAAGCTCCCAACCATAAACTTTTTCAGGCAGTATCCCTACAAGGGGGGAGGTTTCAATTGACGAAATATCCATTCGCTTGTGCATCGGTCGGGTGGGGCTTGGTGGACAACGGCTTAGGGATTAGGGTCGCGAGCCCTAAGCAGTACATCTTTTGTGCTAGAACAAACACTGCCGTGCCCAGCGCTGTCTAATTTGCTGCTTGTGAACGCCTGCAGGGAGCTTTCACCCTGCTGGAAAAAGCCGGGTTGTCCCGCGTGGTCGTTTGCTGATGTTCTGTAGATACTCCTAATCTGCATTGTGTGCATCAATGACTACATATATGTATATGTATATGCACATAGATGAAACAGACATGTCGTGTCTATGTTCGTATTTTTTGCATACGCAAGCATGCATGCATGGGTGTTGCATGTATGTCTTTAGGTAGGTAGGTCCGTCAGCAGGTAGGTAGGTGCGTAGGTAGATAGCAGCGTATGCGCTGGCTTTATTTTGGGACAGTCTTTCTCACGGTCGCTCCGGTTCTCAGGATTTATGGATTCGGATGGCTAGGCCGGGGTCACTATAATGCAACAAAGCATGTTTGGAAAGGTATATGGAGATATCTGGCGGCACCGTTGGAGCATGCATACCTGGTTTCTTGGAGACTGTGCCTTTCAAAAACTACTGTACTTCACTCAGATTGCAACTGTTTCCCAGAAGGCCTAGTACGATGCCTTCGACCAGCTTGTTGTCACTACTTGTAGAAAGGCGTGGACTGTGCTGTTGGAATGCGGATCTCTGGGACGCCAACCCGCAACCTGCGCTGGCCACTACTTTCGAAATCGACTATTATGTCTCCTTATGCATGTCGATGCCCTAGGCCGTTTTGCGCCACAAACCCATGCGTCGTAGCATGGCTCGCCAACTAGGACTTCGACGCACTCCGCCTTCTGCTCCCGCCCCCAGGCGTCGTGGACATTGGAGAGGTGCGCGGCCTCGGAGGATTCAGGCAGAGAGAGGCAGTCTTGGAATGTAGATGGTAGCTAACGTCTTGGTGTGTGCGTCTTCGGTAATACATGGGCCATAGGGGTGACAGGGTCTTGATGTAGGAATGTGGTACGGTGTGGGCTTGCGGTCCAGGGCTTAGCATGGATCTCGTAAGCGGTCCTTCAAGTCCGAAGTTACTGAACTGCTGCAAGCAAGAACATTCGAAGGAGCTCGACGCAGGACAGCCCACTCACATTCTGGGAGGCTTCAAGTCCGATATATATATATATATATATGTATGTATATATACATATATACATATACACACATATGTGTATACATATGTATATATATATATATATACATACATATATATATATATACATATATATATATACATATATATATATATATATATATATATATACATATATATATATATATATGTACATGTGTGTGCCTTGTATGGCCTTTGTGCGGAACCCTACGGCCCCGACGGCGAAGCCTGCGGAAGAGAGGCTGCAGCATTATCAGCAGACCCGCTCTGCAATGAACTGTAGGATCAACACTCGGAGATTCCCGCAACACTAGAAGTAGGCACGAGCATCGAAGCTAGCAGGCAGTCCACTTCCTTTCAGTGCACCTCTCACTGCCGATAAGATCAAACTTACTGCAAAGCACAAGATGAGCAGAAGCCTCTACTCGTTACGGGAAATGCTGCACCTCAAGCCTGCAAACAGAATCTGAAATTTTAACTTGTAACCATGTACTAAACTCCTTCCCTTTGCTAACCAACCGCACCGCGTATGCTGAGAAGTCCCCCGCCACGAGGCCACGCTACATTCAGTAGAGTGTCCAGGCATGATGTCTCGTCTCAGAACGCTGCTCGATGCCATCCAGCCTGTCAGGCTTGCGGTTCTTTTCAAAAGGATATCACAGCTATCGCAACTCGCCTTACATGGCCGTCACATATTCGCTTCATCTTCAGGAATCATTGCTGCTGTTTCTGCAGCTGCCGAAAATGGTGATGGTGATGATAATGACGATGATGATGATGATGATGATGATGACGGCGGCGATGATGGTGATAGTGGGATGACGATTAAAACGCTTGTGACGAGGACGAGCATGATGACAACGCTGCACTTGATGTTAAACAGCAGATGCGTACTCGTCTCCAGTAATGTCTAAAGAAGACCTTACGAAATTTAATGGCCGAAGAGGGCAAAGCCCGTTAATGCGGCCCATGCCACACCAGCTTCGCCAAAGAGCCACAACAGATTTGGAGTCTTAGGCTGATGACCTAGGGCTCATGGTCTTTAGCTTTCAGGGCAACAAATGCTGCCCGGAGTTTCGTAAGCGCCTTCAGGTTTAGACGGTTTCGAACAAAAGTCTGGGCCGAAGAGGTACCACTGTCGGAGATTTTCTATACAAGCGTCTGTATAGACTCAGCATGCCCCTTCAAGCGCGATCCTCAATGAATCCGCCGTCCGCAGCGAGTCGACGCTGTTCGGCCGGCTGGTGCTCCCCGACCTGACGTTTCAATGTTGGTCGGGAAGGCCTTGGCTGGCCATCTACCTTTGGGCGCCGTCTATCTATCTATCCATCTGTATACTTATACATATATACACGCATAATACTTTATATGTATAACACATACACACATGTGCCATGTGTTCCATTATTTGGCGTTCGCAGGAATTTATAGGCTCTCCTTTCCGATGTCTTCGGACAGCTGCATGCAAGGCTTTGGACAACCAGAAGACACGAGTCGTGTTGGATAACAGAAGACAAATGATTGAAACCTGTTGACATCTTTAGCCTTCAGGACAAAACCTGGTAAAACAGAATGAAATGCTGAATTGAATGTTGATCTGTTTCTTGTATCTGTTGTATACACCCTTCCCAGCACCACAGCATCAAGTCGAGAGAGGACCGGGCTGACGGCGGCTTTCAAGAACGCTGAGCCGCTGTGTGGGCCTTAGGGAAAGAAGGGCCACGAGCAAACACCACGAAACCGAAGCCTTCAATGATTTGTTTCTTTATAGAAACTTGTTTTTATAAACACAACTTTTTTATAAAACCAATTTTATAAGAAACAATTCCTAAACCGAAACTCTTAAACCTCGGCCTGCGTGAACACCGTCAGGCCTTGGCCCCAAACAGCTCAGGGGGCTCGGCATTGCTACACGATTAAGGTTGAATTGACTTGTGGTCTCGGTCCTCACGTCGAGCCGCGACATGAGCAAAACCCAAGAAATTGTGGATGGTACTGTAATTGAGCACATACAAAGCACTGTCATGCCTGTGCCCTAGGACACTGGAATCGAACTTGCTTCTTGTGTGAGCGTAGACGAGGTTCCGAATTCACAAAAACACCCAATTGGTACGACGAGGCGACCCAGCTGTTGTGTCACCTTGTAACCCTGGTAAACCCTGACTGAAGAAGAAACCCCATGAAGCATTGAGGATCTGTGAACCCTCGTTGACATGAACCGAAGCTCGAAACAGCTTCTTGCTCCAAGGTGCTTGAGGTGCTTCGTCAGCAGCGACGCATGCTCCTGAATACAGCAGGAGTACAAGGCCCAAACAGTAGCAGTGAAGCACGTCTTTATGTTTACCCTGCCAGCCCCCAGGCCCTGAACGCTAAACTGCAGCTTTGTAATGCTACATGATGTAACATGCCATGATGAAATGACATAGTATATTATGATACAAGGAGCGCTGCATGAGGACAAGCGTCTCGGTTCAGCCCTTATCACGTAGCTCCTGTACACCAAGACCCAGAAGCTAAGCTGAACCCTCAACCCCAGATCCTAGCCGAGTACAGAACAGTAGTATAGCATAAGCACAAGTAACTAGAAGTATAATTGCGGTATCGTAAAGTAATGTATAGTATATGGAGTTTCTTCAAAATAGAAAAGGGTATATAGTAGTATGCATCGCAGGTAAATTAGCGTAGATTCGAGTATAGCATAGCCCCTTCTGACAGATCTGTCCTCTGCCATCTCACGAGCATCTTTGACCTTCGGGAAGAGCCGAGACGCTCTTGACGGCTTCAGGTGCAATTGCGTGCAGTAGCGCATGTAGTAGCCTTGAGTGCCAACCCTGATAGCACTTACGGTGTTTAGCTTCGCTGTGTTGGGTCAATAATCTTCAAAGGTCAAGCCAAAGAAAGTGAAAAAGGAGACCATCCCGAACACCTAGCTTCTGAGTAGCGAATTCTTGGGGCTCAAGACTTGAATGCGATGTCAAAATTCTGCGGCTCTTCACTACAAGTGCTGATCCTTTTCTTACTCAACCGGCACCGGAACCTCCCAACCCGTCAGCTCAAACCCGAAACCTCAAAACCAAAAGCCTCTAGACCCAAAATCATCATGGACGTTACAGCCCTAAGCCCACGGAATAAAGCTAAAGAGCTTGCTTGCAAAGATCGTACCAATACCATGAATGCCTGTTGTTTGGGATTTAGTTTGACTGGTGTTTGTTTTAAGTTGTTGGGGTTTGGAGCTTATAGGGTTTACGGGTCTAGGGCGCTATTAGAGCCGCGAACAACCAGGAACAAATGCCCAAGCAAGAAAACACACGACAAAATCGACAGGCATGCCTCGTACATCAGGTCATGCCCAACGCTGAACTTGAAATGCATCACCTGGTCAGGAGGTTGGGGTCTGGAGTTTGGCCGGAACGGCTCAGTGTGATCCCTGCCGCGCTCGGAAGCGATGTTCAATGGCTCCGATTCGGGATGAGTACCCTTCCAAGTTCGTAGAGAATCATACCAAACCTTTAACGCAACCTCCACATGGCACCAGGTGGCACCCAGAAAGCCGACACCCCACAAAGCCATTTTGGAGATCCTTGACTTCCTCTGGCCCACAGAACTTCACAAAGGCCCGGTCCTGAGTATGGTATTGAATGACGGTAGGCCGGTGTGCCACGCTGAGAAAGCCGATCTTCTTCTTCCTGTCCAAGTGCTTTTCGGGTCTAAGGGACGTTGCGTCGACCAGGGCTAGGGGCGGGGACCCTTGCGTATTGACCTGTCTACGGTGCATGAGTTTGGAGTTTCGGGTATTTTTCGAGATTCGTTGCAGTAAGCCGCTAGGCTGCTCGGAAACTGAAACTTTGACGCGAGTGTAAGTCGTCTCGGACTGCTGATCTTTACCGGCCTCATGACGGGTGCAGGACGTTTTTTTTTTTTAAGGTGCAATGGCTCTTTCTCCACTTCGCAAAGCAGGTCTAGAGCCCGCCACAGCAGGCCTACACCACTCAGGCTCTCATTACAGGACGGTTTAGGGTTTAGGGTTTAGGTACCCTAAACCCTATAACAGACCTTGAGTACCATCAGAAGACCTGTGATGAGAGTCCATGAAGATCTGGCAGAAAGGAAGCATCAAGCTGAGGACAGCAAACTCCCGAGCGCACGATGAACTAGAAATAGAATACGAGCGCCAAACCAACCCTCAACGCCTAATTTTTCAATGCCGTAAATCTCAACAAAGACCTCTTGAGACAGGCGTAAAACCCGGAATCGCCGATACGTGCGGTAGATATACCGAAATCATCGGAGAAATTGCGGGACAGCAGCCAATGACAAGACATCTCACGACTTAAGCTCTGAACCTTGCCAACCCTAAACCCCAAACCCTAAGATACTGCCAGCCTCAAGGCTTGATAAACCTTCATCTCCTGCGCGCAGGCTGAGGGTCGAGGGCTTCTGGTGAAAGCATATCATCTAGTGGTTTGTCGTGTGACAGTAGTAGCTGCAACAACGTCCAACAACTCTACGGCCATTTTTCAGTGTCACTGTCAACATGAAAACTGATCTCTAAAACCTAAGACCAGACCGTAAAATCTTCCACTTTCTGCTTGGCTTGTTTCTGAACTCGCTGGAATGAGTAAGGCAGCTCCACAACCTGACGCAGCAACATCTATCAACAACAATGCGCACTTTGTGGAATACCCCAACACCCAAAATCCCAAACTCACTAAGCCAAACATCGAAGCTTGAAGGGCCCTGCACCCTAAATCTACAATTCCCTAACCCGAACTAACATCCCAAACTCCCAACCCCAAAACCCCTAACTTCCCCGACGCTTGAGGTTGAGGGTTTAGGGTTTAGGGGTTTAAGTTCCCATAGCTTTTCAGCCAAGTGGCCGAGGCCGTGTCCATGGAGGCCGTGGACTCATCGAGGATGGCGAAGAAGCCGTAGGCCAGGTCGCCATGCCTTCTTGGCAGGAGTGAGTGAGTGAGTGAGTGAGTGAGTGTGTGAGTGTGTGTGTGTGTGTGTGTGCATATTCTTTTCGTGTAGGGGCCTCTTGAATTAGAATAGCGTTACCTGTAAGTCAGGACACTGTAAGGATTGGGGTGCGTATTGTAGTACTGCAGTATAGCTACTTTAAAGAGGGAGATCAGAGAACCGTGCCTGGGGTGCGACACATTGCAGGCACAACCGGGCCGAAATCCTGGCTGCTGAACAACAGCCATTCCTGCGTAACCACGATTGTGACCCAGTGCAGGGTTTTCGCATACATCTGACTGGCTCAACAACTGCCAGCTCCACGGCCCTCGGTTCTGAACAAAGTGCCTGATGAGACCTTGGGGCACAAAGGAAGCAGCCCACTGCTAAGGTGCACGCGTACGATGCCACTCGGCATGCCAAAAGAGCCTGGCCACCAGTGTGCCATTCTGCTTCAGCATGATTTGGACTGGATCTGATGCTGCATACACGTCATCGTCACCATCATCGCTATGGAAGCATCATCGCCAGCCACCACCAACAACTGCAGCCACTGATGCCGCTGCTAGGCCTGCTCCGACACAAACCCGGAAGGCCGACCCCTGCACTTCAAATGGCTGCAGACGACAAAGTCTGAATAAACCCCTGGAAGCCCAGAACTGAGGAGATCCGAGCCGTGCCTGCAGAATTGGATGCGCTGCTGCTCCCCCAAGCTTAGCACCTCACTGTGCGTTGCTTCCCAGATTTATGTAGCATATAGCTCTTATCTTCAGGTCTAAGTGGCCTGGGGATCCGCAAGCATCTGTTCCATGACATGCGACAAAAGTTTAGGCGTGGTGTTTGCACAGATTAAATAAAGGCGGACGGCCGGAGGACCGGGTTCGAACGTCAGATTCATCAGCAGGCTTCCTTGAACTGTCTAGTCTTTCGGCCCGGCTCGAGATGCTTCGGTTGAATTAAACAACTGAGGGTCAGAGGTTAGAGTCTAGAGTGGGCTCCTGTTCTTGACTCAATCAAAATTCAAAAGCCAAACCCACGAACCCTACGTAAACCGAAGGTCCACGCCGGCAAACCCAAAACCCACAATGATTACCATATTCTATATAAAGAGAGTGCGTTGGAATACAGGCCCGTGTTCTCGAGTAAAACAAGCGACGCTTTATATATATATATATATATATAGTTAATGAATATGATGCAAAGCCATTTCCCATCATCTCTTGGATCTCGGATGAAGTCCCTGAGCAGAAAAAAACGTCAAGACCACTCGCCCAATGCTGGAACCCATGGATTCCCCTCAACCTCCCAAGCCCCTGACCCGCAAGTCCGCCATGACTTGAAAACCCATCACCCGCCACAACCCCCACTGCACCTAATCACAAACCCCAAACCTAAACTCGAACCCTGTCCCCTACCCCCTGAACCCGAAAAGCGAGCCCCAAACACTCCAAAAGCCATCTAAGCCCACGGCATCGGACCAATGAATGCCCCTGGTATCGACCTCCTCCTTCCGGGCACTCCAGACCTGCCAGGGTGGTGTCGGATTTATTGAGGGTTTAGGATTGAATCAGGGCTGCAGTCTCGGGTTTGAATAGGATTTCGGGCTCTGGGTTGAGTGACGGCGTGATGTGGCTTCTTGGATTCGGCCTTTTGTGGTCCAGAGGTATACAGAAAAAGGTAAGGGGTTGAGGATCTACGGGAAACGGTTCAGGGAATTTGTGGGCTTCCCTTTATGCAACACTTGGGCCCCATGGTTGAATAAGAGTTTGAAACGCCGTTCCTTGTGCTTGGGGTTCTTGAGTTGGGGTGTCTTAGAGGTAGGGGGCAATGATTGACGGGTGAAAGGAGCTTCCGGGCTGTTGGTGACTACGGCGTTGCGTGCTGTCAGGGAGGAGGCGTAGATTCCAAGATGCAGAAGCTGACGGCTTCTACTTCTACTCACATCTCTGTTTTGCACTCTGGATCCCCGACTACACGAAACTAGCGCATGAACCCCAGTTTCCTCACCAACCTTGGTCCAACACCTCCCAAGACAAACCCGACAGCTATCTCAACCCTGAAACCCCACGCCCAAACCCCAAACCGAAACAAAAGCTTGAGAAGTTGTCAGAGGGCGCCCTGTTTCAACATGCTGCGCACATCCGACATGCCTCACTCAAGTTGGCTTCTGCGAAAAGGCGCGCCATGTTTGCATCGTTGAGCCTAGCAGCGAATTGAGCTGGGAGTCTTGGGTATACAGGAAGGGGTGTGAAGTTTCACGTTCTGGGATTCTGGGGTCCCTCTTTTGGAAGTCGTGGGATGCATGGGCTCAGGGTGTAGAGCTAATGGGTACTGGGCTTCTTGTAAACTCTAACAGCCATGAGCCTTAAACCCGAAACTGTGAACCTATCAGTCTTGTACAGCTTAAACACTGCAAGATACTGCAAGCAAACGCCGCCAAAATTTGAGACTTCCTTGCGCTCTCCGAGGTCGAAGCTCTGTCAGCAGGGACGCATCCCACACCTTGGTGCTGTGGGGCTGTCTTGGGACAAGGAGTTGACGGTTGGGCGTGGTTTTGAGGTTTGCAGGGTATAAGTCGTATAAGTTTCAAACTCAGGGCAGTTAGGCATCTTGTCAACTTCCACCGTCATCCTCCGTCGGCCAACTGAGCGACTGGCCGGGTACGCAATCTGCTCCCGCAAGGTGCCGTCGAACAGGTACGGCCTGCTGCATCGACCGGAAGGCCCGAAGGTTTTGGCTTCGGGGTGTATTAATTGCAAGGCTCATGAACGCTCTCGTAATATCCCGTATGGTCCTATTCCGTGGTTTATCGGTCAAGTTGCACGGATACCAAACTTGGGTTTCGGGTTTGAGTTTGGATCGAGCGTCGGTATCTGCAAGCTTACGATGCAAACGTTGCATCCAAGATCTTTATAGCATTTTACGCCAGCTCAAACTTGGAAGAATATTGAAGACTATGCGATCCTCCATACATATTACAGGACACATCCTCCAAAGGCAACTAGACGAAAAGGCTATACTTCGTCTACCTGCAGCCGGTCGGGAGAACTGAGACGAGAAAAGATACAAAAGCAGGCTAGTTGCGACCTTCCGGGTGTGGGCAGGGGCTCGGGACCAGACAGATCCAAGGATTGTGGGACATGAGCTTGGGCATGGTAACTAGATGTCCTGTTTTGGGTATAGAGTGTGTAGGCTACACGAGTAGTTAAACCAATAGTGCGTTTTTTCCACAGCCGGATGGGCGACCGCTGAGGAAAAGAGGCGCTGGCTAGGCTCACAAGCGCTGCGCTTCAGAAGATAAGTTACTGCAAACATCCCGTCTAGTAGTCTTGCCAAATGTTTATTTGCCTGCGGATCGGGTCTACCTCAGCCATGGATCCCAGCGGAAGGAAATTCTGAGGGTCGGTGTGCCCGAAATCCATATCGAAGACCACCGGAAAAGGAATCTCTGCCTGCTCCTGTGACTCCTCATCCATGACATGCTCCTTCAAAGCGCGTAGAATTGTGGCTTTCTGGGTTTGGGCATAGGTAGCCTTCCCTCCGGTAGGCTCATTGCCCAAGAACTCAGTCTTCGGCCTTCCAACGAGCAAGGCAGCCACCCTTCGAGAGAGGAGGCCCCTCTGCCCCAGGGCCAGCACGAATCCGTGGACCACTTCATCCGGTGGCATGACTTCCGAGGTCTCAAAGAACAGAACTAGCCTGCCATGAGACTCGTCGGGCAAGATGAACTCTAATCCCGATGCCAGGAGCACGAATAAAGATTCCAAGCAGCCACCCCACAGAATGCCCCGGGCTGGTTGATCCAGTTTGCCTTGCCAATCCCAGAGAGGAGCAGGAAGCGAGACCAAGGATTTGTCAGCATCCGTGCTCCAGTCTGGATAGTCGACAACGTAGGTTGGTGACTCAAGCAACTGGAAGGGATCCTTCCCATGGGTGGCCGCGATGAAAGACGTTCGAGTCAAGGAGTGCATACCACCCAGCAGGCCAAACTGGCAGAGAAGGTTTCCTCCGTAGTAGGACATGATGCCCAAGGAGAAAAGCAAAAGGTGCAGGCTCGTGATGTCACTGTAGCCGAGAACGACCTTTGGGTTCTCGCTTATGACCTTCCTATCCAGAAACGGCACCACACGCACAAGGTCATCTCCTCCGATGGCACAAACGATGCCTTCTACCTCGGAGTCGGCGAAGAGCCTGTTAAGCTCAGCCGCGCGCTGTCGCGGGGGAGTCTCGACGCGGTACATGGACTCTGCGAGCACGACTGTAAACTCGAAGCTCGTGCGCAAGACATCGATCGCACGGTCTCGGACATGAGGGAATACAGCGGCGGTGCCAGCAGATGGTGCCGTTACGGCCACTTTGGACCCTGGGGAGAGGCGAGGAGGGAGGCGCATCGCCAAGCAAAAGCTTCTAGTGACCTCGGCTCTTTGAGACGACCTGCAGCACAGCATTGTATCACCACACCAAAAATAGACCCCTTCGACCTGATCGTGCGCAGTGTGCTTTCCAAAATAATTCGATAGCAACGGCCCTGTTAAACCCTATTACCATCTTCCGCTGTGTTCCGCCTGCCACGATGACTTCTGGGAGGTTTCCAGTTTTCTGGTGTGTTGGATAACCTCAAACTTCACAATACATGCCCTGGACCTCAAACCTTCAGGGCCTCATTGTAAGTATCCGCCACGGGCGATTTGAACTCAAGACTCTATAGCTGTTGGGAACTTCTCTGTGTGTGTGTGTGTGTGCAACCGCACAAATTCTCGTTTTGCGCTGACGATGCAAGCGACAACGCTCTTCCCGAACCCTTTTAGTACCTCCGGCGAGGGGGGGCGCACCTCTGCGCAAGGAAGAACAGGTTCCGTGCCGGCGGCCTCTTCAGAAGACATGTCGCATTCTGACCAGACGGGAGTGTAAAACTCAGAGTGTAGCTGCGACAACAATATAAGGATCAATCATCGTTCTCACTGTCATGACGGTGCTGTTCAAACTTTTGGCAAAGGAGACAACACTGTCGAGCCTGCGCTGTTGATGATGGTAAGGCTACACTAAGACGAGAAACAGCTACAGCTGGTCTCAGTCTGAAACAGATGTCGGGCGAGCACTGCTTAGTGCACCGCATGGTGCACATGCACTTGCTCTACACTTCCATTCACATCCGCACATGTCGGAACATACGGAATTCGGAGGCATGACGAATGACGTGGCGAACTGCAAACTGCAACAACACCAAACCCTGCTGAACCTGCAAAGACGTATATAAGGATGTCGCCTTAACCTTCACTTCACTTCACTGCTGATCGGTCCAAGGTCCGGAGCAAACTAAAGACATGCACGCCCAAAAGTGGGAACCGCTATGGAACCGCACAGGCAAGGAAACAAACAGGCAAAAGAGCACAGGGGCGAGAAGCGCCTCAGGCGCGACCCAGCGACTCTGTGCTGAAAATAAAGGAAGCTCGCAGAGGACGGACAAAAGGGGAACGGCCCGCAGGCGAGGGAGAGCAAAGGGCAAGAAGGTCAGGCCACCACGAGGAAGGGCAGTCGGGATGCTGTGCAGCAAAGATCACTCCGAAGGGCAGATGCGCAGAGCGGAAAAGCGCGCGGGGCAACAGCCTCCGGAGGAGCGAGAGCCCTGCCGAGCTCGGCACACCCCAGAGCCAGAGAGCACCTCCAGCGCAGACGCGGGCGCAGACCTGACGGAGGGTAACCGTGGCGGCCAACAGGCACTGTAAGGCAACCGGAGGCTCCTTGGAAGCGGCAGCAGGGTCAGAGACACTGCTGCGCAGGACACGGAAAGCTGACGTGGCAGCGGCGTCCCAAGGGTGGAAGAGATCGGTAGCATGCCAACATTTCCAATAGCGGTGCCACGCAAGAGGAAGCTGCCAAATGACAGGGGCAAGACTCCATGCAGACCACAACGGAGAGGGCAGGTGCCATGCCTCAGCTGGTTCAGAGTAGTCAAAGATGCACCGCCATTGACGGACGGGTGCCTCAACCGAAATAGAGACGCTGGGCGCATCCGCCTCATGTCCGGGGCAGGGAGCGGAAGCAGCAGCGGTGCCAACGGGCTCTGCGGCGCCAACATCAAGGGGGAAAGGCCCAGGGTGCGGGTCGGCTGGTGCAGCGGCAGCGATGCGCGCAGCCCCATCAATAGCCTGCGGGGCCGGCCAGTCATAAGGGCCAAGCGCCCTGGTGGCAGTGAAGAGCTCCTGGGCAAGCTCTCCCTCGGTGCAAGGGCGCCCTGCCTCAGAAGCAGCACGCTGGGCAGGCGTAGCATTAAGGGGACCTGGGAGCCTGATTGCAGGGACGCCCCGATGAGTCCTAGGCCCGCCCCGTCGAGACCCGGTACCGTATTCATATACCTCACCGACAGTGACCCGAAGCCCGTGAACACACCCAGGCGTGGTCCGGAGATGGTATTTAAGCCGATCAGATGATTGCATCTCTGTATGGCACCACAGGCAAGCTGTGCCATGGGTGTACCGCGTCAGCCAATTGACAACAGAGTGCTTGCGGTGAACGTGTGCCGCTAGTGCGTGTGCACTAGGTAGAACAGCGTTGCAGATGCCACAGGGATGGGGGGTTGCGCACCCAAGGACTCTTTTCTGCCTGGGTCCGGACAGTGCTTGCCACAGATCCCAGAAGGCCCACTGGAGGGTGCCCCATTTGCTGAGAAACCGGCAGGCCTTCAGCATCCCTCGCTGGTTGGCACGCACGAAGGCCAAGGCTGAAGGGACATGTTGACGCTGGGCGTTCACAACTCCACGGGCAACTGACTTGCAAGCGTCTGCGAGCAAAGCACACCAAGGGACAGCACGGTTCCATGCCGCATCAAAGAGATCCCAAACCTCGGTAGGTGCCCGACCGACAAGCTGGACGACAAGGCGGGTGCGGGCAACGACAACAGCGTGCTCAGGGGCCGTCAGTCCAAGGAGGCAAAGGAGCACGGACCGGTGTAGGCGGTGGCCGAAGCGCCAGGAGCCACACACGACTCGGGCAATCCGTTCGAACAGGCCGTGCAAGGGCGCGGTGGCCCTTTCGGACACCGCGACTGATGTAGCAAGGGTTGCGTACGCAGCGGGCAGGATTCTGCCGGCAACCCACGCTTGCCGAAGCGCCCAAGGTAACGCATCGCTGTTAATCAGATTGCGGCCGTGGGCCCATGCGGTGCGTCCTCGTTGAGCACAAAGCTCAGAATCTCTGCGGCCATTATCCTTGGGGTGTTGGACCACCCCTAGATACCTGTATTCAGGAGTCAGTCGTAGCTCGGCTCCATTAGGCAGGGTTAGCGGTCGGGACGACCCAAGCATTTCACCTCGTACTGCCTTGGCATCGCTACCTCTGATGTCAAGGAGAGCCTCGGTTTTTCCTTCCCCAAGGTTAACAGAAAAGTGCAGGGCGTGTAAGGTGTCTATGACAATTTCGGCAACACGGGGAAAAAGCTGTTGCAAGTCCCGGGGACTAGCGTAATCCGTGATAACCGCAAGGTCGTCAGCCCACCCTATCTGGAGCGGAGTGGGGGATGATCCGGAAGCGAAACAAGCAGCCTGGCAAGTCAGACCCTCCTTGGCACACACAGTTTCGATGTGGCGCAGCGCAGTAGCGAAGAGGGCGCCGAAGAGGATATCGGCGAGTCCGTCACCGGGTCTTGAGCCCCGCGTTGCAAGAAAAAGGCGGTCGGACCCTACCAGGTGCCAGTGGGCACATGCGACGCAGTCCTTGAGAAGTGCAATCTCTTCAGCAGGGACACCAAGAAGCTGAAGGGCGCCTGCCCGTGCCAATTGATCGACAAGAGCGCTCAAATGATATAGCCGCTGTTCGCTGGGCTCCAGAGACAAAGGGCCCCCATCAAAGATGAGGTCCCTGCTCGCCTCGTAATATGCGGCTTTGATATCAACAAAGAGGACCGCAACACTCCGCTGTGCCTCGACACAGAGTGACCACGCCCCACGGAAAGCAGCGACAGCGAAGTGGACAGGCATGCCTGGGCGGCCTCCGAGTTGGAGTCCTTGGTATCGACGAAGAATCGAGTGCCCAAGACCTTTCCTGAGGTATCCATGGTACACCTTGGCCATGCCATTCATCAATGCGATGGACCTGTAGTTTTGTGGCAGGGCAGCTGGGCCCTTCTTATACAGGGCACATATGAGAGCGAGCTTAAACTGTGGTGGCTCGCGGCCCGTCAGTGCAATGCCAGTGCAGACACGCCAGAACCAGAGGCCCGCGGAAACCGGGAAGTGTTTCCAAAGCTCGTTGAGCACAAGGTCGGGCCCAGGAGCCTTCCCGGCCTGCTGTCGACGGCAGGCAGCCTCCATCTGGAGGAGAGTCGGTACCGCCTGCGGGCAAGGTATCGTGGGAGAATGGGCCCAGGATCGCTGGGCAGCACGGATTTGCTCGGGCGTAACCGCCCGCCCTCCTTCTTGGGCTCTGAATTGTTCTTCGAGCTCCTGCTCAATGTTGTAGCCACCCGCTGCGTGGACGGCTCTCCGCTCAGCAGCGCGACGCGAGGCCCAGCGCAGCTTGGAGATGGACTCAAGGGCTCGTCCTTCCTGATGCCAGAGCTCGACAGCAGAAGCCGTGAGATGGAGGAAGTGTTGCACTTTGTCCTTTTTTGCAGAGTTGTGGGCAATGCGACTGAGGCGGAATTCTTGTGATAGCATCGCAGCTTCAAGCAACCGCTGTTGGTGCCAGCGGAGGTGTGGCAGGCGGTCTCCGTAGCTACTCTGCCGCCATCCTTCAAAACAGAGCGAGAGGAGCAGCTCGCGACCGTTATGCTTGACTAACCGGCACTGAGCCCGCCAGTCCCTGAGCCGACCTAGAAGCTGCAAAGTCTTGGCCTGGATGTACGGCTGCTTGGGTACAAGTGGAGAGCGCGAGGGCAAGGCCTGCCTCCATGCTGAGTAGACGTCCAGCAGCTGCTGGACCTGTGCAGGGCAGCCAACAGGCGTTTGACGCTGGATACGGGACCAGATGTCACTGCCAGCCCCGCGCACCTCGGCCGGAAGACACTTCCGCTGTCGGGGCCGGGGCACCGCAGGGGCAGTCGCCCTAAGGATAGTCTGTGCCCAAAGAGCGACGTGGTCTTGCTGCACATTTACGATGTCAAAGGCTAGGGCCTGGCTAGACCTCTCAACCTCCCAAGGGCCGGCTTGGAAGAGAAGATGATCTAGCCGCTTCCTCCGGCCACTGGTGTGTTGCCAGCTCCAACCTTCGCCAACTTGGATGTCGCTGAAGGTGGAAGGAGCGAAAAGGCTGAATCGCAGACACAATTCAAGAAGGTATTCATCATTACGGGAAGGCTCGTGCTGGGATATCAATGTGCCGATCAGCATTCCCTCGTCGTCGGCAGAACAGAAGTCGCCGTTGGCGTCGAGCCCGAGTACAATGGCACGCCGCC